GGTGAATTATTTGTAATGGATTCAAAACAATTATAAGAATAGGAACTGTATAATGCTGTGCTATAAATACTTGTATTGTATTTAAAAATAATAGAATGATATGGGGAGTAATAATTTTTGCCCTTTTCTTCGAAGAATAATCTAAAAATTGAAATTAAAAGAGAATGAATTTTATCTTCATCCTCTTTGATTTTTTCACATATCAAGATTAGTTTGATACAAAGTATCAAATTAATAGTTAAATGAATTTTTATTCAATTTTGATGACATATTAAAAAAATCATCGAGAATATCCTTTTCGTAAATATCTACCGTGAAATTCTCGAAAACGAAAGGAATATTCTCTTCCACTACAACATTGTTATCTCGGAACACTTTTTATCATTTAATCTTAGAACTTTTTCCTTGAGAAAAAAAATATATCGACATGAAGCCAAGGACAGAGAACGTCTCGAATAACCACGGACGTTTCAATTATTCTTCTCCCTAGGTACGAAAATACTCGTTAACCGAGCCGAATTCTGCCGGACTACCCGCTGCGTTGCCGTATAAGCAACCTATCGAGCGGAATCGCGGCGAATGTCGCCATGATTTACCCAGGAACTCGGCCACCGAGTTGCGACCAGACAACAAATAATCGGCAATTTCACCGAGTTCTCCGGGGACACGGGAATCCAATTAACGGGGCTGATCCATGACCGTCATTAAAAGCCCGTAAAAGCCGTTTTCTCGGCCGTTCTCGATCCTAACGAGATCCTTCGTCGATCGTTCTCTTCGTTGGAAATCTGTCAGAAACGTACGGCCACCTTCACCACCCGAGAAAGACCATTTTCAGACCGTTATACACACTTCGTCTTTCCCTCGAAAAGCGTCGAAAAGAAACTTTCAGCCACCTCCTCCCCCTCCCCTCCCCTGCGTGACATATCTCCCTCTTCCGCACCCATCCCCTTCCGTCCCTCCACCGCTTTCTTTCCCTCGGAATACCACGGCGAAAAATGCTTCCCCACGACGCGTAAGAATCATAGCCGGCGTGTCTGCCGGCGACAGGATAAAGAGGCCGCTCCTACACGCACTTACGTCACGTCCTTCGATTCCTCTGCCCTTGGCTCCCT